AAAAAAATGCGACTGGCTTTCTCTTGGAGAGACTAAATAGCGCGCCGGAACCCGCTCTACTTGGAAGACGCAGCTGTGGAATCATCTCAGCACTTTCTCTCAAAGTGCCCAACTTTAGCAAAGATACGGTCGAAACACCTTTGTTCGCAGTTTTTAATTAGCCTTGCGGAGCTCTTGGAGGCTAATTTTTACAAACTCTGAAATTCCGCCATAACTTTGCATGAAAACAAAGTAAAAATGTCAGTAGTATAACTATTATTTTATGTAGTCAAATTATTTCACTTTATAGTCGATCAGTCTTACGTAAAACTCGTTTGATGCGCTTTGGTTTGCCCTCAGGGTAACACGAGCAGAGCTGGTAGATCATAATAATATTTTTCAATTAGAAATATCCGCAAAATTAACACATAAATTTAGTGTACAGTAATTGCACATCACTCGCATGGAATTCAATAACGAACTCTTCCGATTGGGGTATTTGCACTTCAGCAAGGTAAATGAAATGTGTGAGCACCGCAAGCCTTGTGTTTATTTTTTTTTTTCTTATATTCTAAAGCTATCTTCCAATGAAACCTCATTCAAATGCACACTTTAGTTAATTATACGTCGAATCAGTTAACAAGCATTTAATATTTTAGAATCACTTATGCTGGGCAAAACACAACGACGCTATTGCTTCCACTTGAAGCCATCTACACTCAAACTGCAAAACTGAATTTCTAGATGTAGTAAAAAGAAATCAATTATATGAAGCTTTAAAAATAAAATAATAGCTGAAAGAATAGCCCTATGCAGCTTAATCTTCACTATAGAAGAGCCATTTAAATGAACATTAATATTTAACGCGGCACAAGCCTACGCGTATGGCCCACTGATAAAAAATAAACGCTGAAAGAAATGAAGCCGGCACTCACGATTCCCTGAAAATGGGGAGAAGGAGGATGTTCATAGGCCTTAAAGTCGTTCGCTGACCACACTCACACACAGAAAAGAAACACTTACCGCCTGTGATCTTTATCGTTATCAGATTATTTTTTTTATTAGTGGCTATTATCATTTAGTTTGGTTGCATCCATTTTCTGCTCTAACATTATTTTGGTTGTTGTTGCCTAATAAATGCATATAATGAGTGTAAGGCTACTGTTGATTGTGAAAGGTGTAAAACGGCAATAATATTCCTACTTTACCAGCACCTTTAAGGTGTCTGCCTCCCTGCGTTTTTGTCACGCCCAATTTTCTACCAATCTATCTTTCCATTCATGTACGTGTGTTTGTGTAAAAACTCGTCAAGCAACGGCTGCTGAGTTTTTACACTTAACAGTTAACGAAAAAATTAAAATAAAATGTATTATAAATATTATAAATATGTACGTATCTTTTCCTTTTGAGCGCTCTTCTAAGAGTGCGCTTAAAGTGAAAAATATAAATGAAGGGTACAGTCGCACAGCTGGCAATTTTAGGAAGAGATTTATTATCTGTTTTAGTAGCTTTGTGAAGAGAGAGTAAATTTTAGGGTCTTTGCAAGAAGCAGTAACAATAGTTGGCTTTAGAGGTAAGTTAGCATTTAATGAGAGGCTTCTAACTGTTTGTATTTTATTTGAGGCTGAAGTTTGTTTTAATAATAATAACATTTTGGCGTTTACCCTTTTGCTAAGTGTTTGGCCGAGCTTCTTCTCCAATTTTTTATGTACATCCTAATGCATATAATAAGACAATTGGAGTTACCAAAAATTTTACGTCACCTCCGAAGGGCAAATGATTTAAATGAGAAGCTGTTTCATGGCACAAATAGACTCGGAGGCTCGCTTGACAAAAGACGACCGCTGTTAGAAAAACTTTTTTTAATTTAGATATTGCCCAAACCAGGGATCGAACCCAGGTCCTACGCGGTGATAGTACGCATCGCTAACCACTCAGCCACAGCGACCGCAGTAAATTTCTGCAGCGCAAATTTCTGCCTATAGCCCTGTATGCAGCTCTCAAGAAAACGGTCAAGAAAAAATTGCCATTATTTAGAAAACCGTAGTAGAAAGCGAAGTAAATTTCTTAAGAACTGCGTACTGCCTTAAGGAAATTTGACTCAAGAAAATTTCTTAGCCATTTCTTGTACGTCATTTTATATGGAGTTTTTGCTTTCCTTGAGAGCTGCGTACAGGCCTTATATAGGCAAATATAGCACGGGATTGATTGAAAACGAAACAGAGAAGTTTCTAACGGGTGGCCTGATCTAAATATATATGTACATATGACAGATTACCAAAATCTTTACTATGCATTATGTATGTGTGAAATATATTGGTTCCGTACGTCATGCGGACTGTGCCCCTCGTGCGGATGGGCGGGCATGGAGAGTAAAAGCCGTTGGGATTATTATATTAAAGGCTAAGAAATATCTAATAATTCTACATTCGACGATTTTTCCAAATTGATTATTAAACTGAAAACGCTTAACAGTCTTCACCCTCTAATTCCAGTGTTTAATAATACGTGTTTTCGCATAAAATTTAACTCCTTCTTCCTGTCATCCATATTACTATATTACATGAATATTTTTCTGTATAATAATGACAAGTTCCTAATCTTAATCTCAATATCAATCACAATCTCATTCTCAATATCAATGTCAATCTTAATTAGGGTTGCCAGATTTTGAAACGGAGAAAGGAGTACATTTATATTTTCGATAGAAAAAGTACAATTTTTTTTTTTAATTTTTTGTGCAATTTATTGTTAATTAGGTACAAATAAACAAAGATATTTTAGAAATCTTTTTCAAAGCAACATCAAATGTTAAAAATAAATAACTAAATGAGCTGGCTTTCCAATAAGGGCGGTCGTTAAAGAGATGGTGATCAAAGGGGGAGTGGGCGTGGCACCCAATTGTGATATTTGGCGAGTTTTCTAAGGCGTCCCTAGGGACCCATAGGGGGCCTAGGTGGTCGGGGGTGCCACGCCCACTCCCCCTTCGCTCACCACCTCTTCAATGACCGCACTTATAGGAATTTTTCCCCAACTAAATTCTACAAAAGAATTCCAAACCTTTTCTGAATATATGGCCAGTTTTTTAATTTAAGCCTTATAATTAATTTAATATTTTTCTGATTTTTATACTCGAGCGCTCTGCACCTGCCTTGCTGTGACCATGCTTACACCTTTACACTATCACACTTAACTTTGCTTACTAAGTAATGTTTGCCACAATATGAATGGCAAAGTACAGGGCGTAAGATAATAACTGTCGCACAGGTTTTTTGAAAAATAAAAGGGTCCGTTAGAGATGTTGCGAAAAAGAGTATCTTTTTGTTAACTTTATAAATACTTTACATTACAAAAGACGGAGTATAAAGGACCCAAATGGGGAAATTAGCCTATATTTACAGAACATATGTATGTAATAAAATAACCGACGAATACTTGCGTGCCGCTTGCGCTTTTCTCCCAAACCCGCTGGTAAACCCAAATGAAGGTTAAAATTTAAAAACGAATTAATAAAATTTTCGCAAAATCTATAAAGGTCCCTTTTATTAAAAACAAAAAAAACTGTGCGACAGTTATTATTTTACACCCTGTATATGATAAATTATTAATAGCTGGAAAAAGGAGAACAAAAGAAGTACAAAACTAATAAAGCAGTACATTTCCATATATTTTTTTTGGGAGTACATTGCAATAAAAAGGAGTACTTGTACTCCCAAAAGCAGTACGTCTGGCAACCCTAATCTTAATCTCTATCGCAATTTCATTCTCATTCTCAAGCTCAATTTTCATCTTAATCTTATAATTGATTTTAATCTTAATCTTAGTCTCAATCTTAATCTTAATTTTAATCTTTGTCTCAAGTTTGACCTTAGTTTTAATCATAATCGTGTTCTTAATTTTAATCTTATTCTTAAACTTAATATTAATCTTAATCTTCATCATAACATAAGTCTTAATCTTAATACATCAATCTTATTTTTAGTCATAATCTTGATGTTACTCTAAATCTTAATCTAAGTCTCAATTTTAACCTTAATTTTAATCTTAATCTAAAACTTAATATTAATCTTAATATTAATGTTAATCTTAATCTGAATCTTAGTCTCAATATTAACCTTTATTTTAATCATAATCATATTCTTAATTTTAATCGCTGTGGTATAGTGGTTAGCAGTACGCACTACCATCCTAATCTTTATCCTAATCGCGCCTAACCACCCCTGCGACCCCATTCCTTCTACTGTCGCTTTTTCGAGGGTACCGGATTTTCGACAGCTTAGAGGGGCAATTTTGAACGTTGCTCCATATAAATTCAACCACTGTGCACTGTGCGACTGGTAAGGAACACGCAGGTATGACGAATTCTGCGAACTTTGTAATGGCATTCTCATAATCAAAGCCACAAAAATACAACGCTGGCGCTGTCTTGGACAAGTCGTACCTATGTATGTATGAACGAGATGATGTTTCGGTAGAAAAATCCTTATACCACTATGACTCAGCCGCTATGAATGAACTAAGAAAACAGGAACGTATACGAGCACTGTCATCGGACCAAGTTTAAAAGCACTTATATGCAGTTGA